GATTATCGAAATAACTTTTCTTATTGGAAAACCCGGTATTTACTAAGGGTACAACCCGTTTTCTGGAACTTTCGGAGGTTTTTATTTACTCGCACTCTAACGTGATAAAGGAAGCTCTTACAACCTTAAGAAAGACACACATTTCAAGCAGCGCACTTACAGAAAACACTTTGTAAGATCTTATTGACATTCTGAGGCTTTCTATTATTATCTCTCGATATTTAATAAGGTTAATTGCAGGGGGCAATTTTTCGTTTTGAAAGGTTACCGTTTGTGTAGTGGCAACTTTGAGTTACATACATGAATATATAGCACAATCACTTATTTTAAAGAAAAAAAAAATAGGAAAATATGTCTCGTAAATATTTTAAGATCAAACCATTATTTGTGTATTAATCAACGTTGCCGCAAAAATCGCACTAAACTTCAGGAAACCCGTCGAGCTGTTGGAGAAACTAATGGAAATCGGTAATCAATCGGTTTTAACTCACATGTAATTTTGGCATTTTGATTGTTACACAAGTTCGTTGATTTATATTTTACATTTTTTACATTGCGCACATTTAATTCTTCCTATTTCGTTAGGTCTTTTCTGCTTATCTCTTCGCTTCCACCGCCACATGCATTCTTCACAACTTCCTCAATTAGTTAATTGACGAAAGAAACGCACCCGAATTAATCAAACCAAATAACTGTATAACATTTTTCCTTTTAATTAATTTCAATTTAATTACTTTCTTTGCGAATTGCGTTTTTAAAACAACTTATGACCGGGGAGTATGTAGTCTTTCTGCCTTTATAATCAATTGCAAATCCATTCAACGTGGTCGCGTCACGGCACGTCACCAGAAGGCACTACACTATGTACACTACACGATAAGCGAACGCACCAGCGACCACCACCAGCTAAAGCGCGACCGTTGAAAGCGAATGTTTTATTATAAATAAACACACGACTTGCACCCATTCAACGCCACTAACAACACAGCAGCAGCAGCAGCAGAAAGCAAAAGCAACAGCGACAATGGCAACATCTCAGACTAAACTGTGCGCTTTGCTTAGACCCCGAACTATTGTGAGGCGAACATCGAAATTTTGCAAGTGTTAGCAGCAGCGCGTTGGGGCACCCAAGCAGGCGCAGGCCGACGGAGTGGCAGCTGTGCACCGATGTACTATACTTTAGAGCTGAGCGAGCGCGTCGGGCATAAGCGTTGGATTGTTTATAGCGGCGCAGCCGTTACCGATACAAGCGCACCGAACACACGCGGTTGTGGAAAAAATATATTTTATGTTCTACTTAGTAGTTTGTCTATCAAACTGACTCCTTGACTTTGGGAGCACTGTGAGCGGCAAGCATTACATATGTGCATACCTTGTGAACGTTACGCCGTGAGCGACAGATAGAGCACCACCGATGGTTGAGACAGGCGGCCCGCCACACAGCGGTTCCAATCGGTTCCGTGCACCGCTTTACTCATCTATGTATGTATGTATGTATGTATTTATAATCGAGTTGTGGAACGTAAGTGAGTTTGTTGTAGGCGCATTGCATGTGAATGACCGTGCTTGTGTATTTCTTGTATTTGTTTTTATCGGATTTACGAGAAAGAAATTTATTTATGATTATAAAGACATTTATATAAATCTTCATACATACATACATATATGTATATGTATGATAACGCTTATTTATTTCTTTATACTTGCTGAAATAAACAAAAATTTTTTCCTACAACTTAAATAAGCCAAAGAAGTTAGTGTTCCATATGGCGAATTCCGCGTGCAAACGCATTGGTGCACATACAGTTTCTGTCAAAATAATAGCACCTCTACAGGTATTTATTTTTTATTATTATTTAATTCTCCATAACTTTACAGTTCCATTACTAGAAGTATACTCTCTCATTTAGTTACTAACTTTGGTCGAAATAACGGTTGCTTATTCTAAAACACATTCAAAAGTATGATTCCATTCAGTGGAAGCTGTCAAAATAATAGCACAAATCATGATACAAAAATTCTTTAAGGCTGTTTCACTTCGAAATTCTCGACACTAAACTTATTTGCTAAGAATTTGTTGATGTTGCCCTTATAGAATATTCAATTTGAAGATTTTTTATTTACTTTTGGGGTTATATTCTAGGCGGAAGCAATAATATTGAAAATCATTATTTTTAGGCGGCAGAAGTAAGAAAAGAAATTGTTCGATTTTTATTAATAATAACCTGGGAAAAGTTGGCATTTTATATTTTTTTCGAAATTGAGATTTTAGATGTTCTCAACTCTATGCGAAACGTTCGTGGCTTAGGTCACTGGTTATAGGTAAATCCCAGGAAACTGCGTGGCCAATGGGCTGACCAGATGAGGAACAGTAATAACGTCGGTAAACTGAGGCGCGGTCATACCTCTTTCCTCTGCATAATATCTAGCTTTTACCAGATGCGCCAACAGCAGATGACACAGTGAAACACTTGCAAAAAGAACAGGCAAATTTGGCAATTGAACGAAGTACACAGAACTAAGTCTTCACATCTTCTAAACAGGCGGTCTATAAGCATAGCAATCAGCGCAATAACAGGACACTATGTTCTGGGGGTTCATAGTAAAAGGATGGGCTTTTACCGCAGCTGCAGGCATAGATGAGAAGGAATCGGTGGAATATTCTCAGAAAGCGATAACTAACCTTCGAAAAAGTATAGCCCTATTTCTGGTTAAAAAATCGTGTCAGCCTGTGTTATTCATGATTATTCTGGTTTCCATTGACAGTAACGGTGGTCAATGAAAAGCGGTATAGATGGATAATAACCAACTTTGTATGGCAACAATTGGAAGAAGTTGATCTTAACAACATCTGGTTCCAATAAGAAGGGGCTACGTGTCACGCAGCACGTGCAACAACCGAATTATTGCAAGAAGGATTTGCAGATTCGATTATTTAAAGAAATTGTGGCATTAAATGGGCTCAAAGAAGTTGTGATTTAACACCATAAGACTACTTCTTGTGAGATCTTTTGAAGATATTGGTCTTTAGCAATAAACCAGACTCCCTTCAAGCCTTAAAAGTCAGTATTGAACGTGCTGTTCATGACATACGACTTGATTTAGTGGGAAGTGTGTGTGTGCGTTTTTCTTAAAGAAATCATATTAGTCTTATTGGAAAACGCTTTGTAATTATTGCACTGACGACAGCTCTCCTTAAATACATTTTCCTTTAAAATACTTCTTCACTCCCTACAATTCTACAATATATAAGATATTTCACTTTATTTATTTATTTTTTTTTAGTAAGATTTTCAAACTAGTGGCAACCCTCTTCCAAAGCATATTCTATTCTTTTTATTTTATATTTTACTTCTAAGAAAAATTAAAAAAAAATTCTATATTTTTAAGTCTTCTTCAGATTGATATTGAAATTTTCCGTTTATCGTATTAAGGGGACCCTCACCTGATATTGGGCAAAAATCAGTCAACATTTGTACCTTTTTCGTAGGAAAATGAAAAGGCGTGCGAACTTCCGGTTTTTACTATTCAATTTGTTTCTTATTTGAGATTTTAAAACGGCATTTCAACTACAAAATGACGCTTTCCTTCGGCCCAAAACCTTCAAGCTTATAGCCGCTTGTAGTAGACTGAAATCAAAAATCGTTATCATTACTTGAAGATCATGAAATTTTCAAGGTCCTGTAACTCAATTGAAACAATTTTAACGATAAATGTATTGCATAATGTTCATTGCAATTAGAAAGTTAAATTTATTACTACTTTTTTTGCTTCAATTACGCTAAAAAATATTAATAATAAATTATTAATGCTAAGCTTAGGTTCAAGACGTACAAAAAACTATATACTTTACAACAGTTATTAGATAAAAGAAATCATATTACAAATTATATGACTTTCATTTTTTGCATAAAAAATCAATTTTTTGATCCAAAATCAGGAGATGGGCCCCCTAATTTTAAAATAAATAAAAAAAATTTATTTTTTACTAACTAAAATATGTTCAAAATACATATAAGGCCACTTAGCGAATATTTGGTCCACATATTATCGGTTCGGTCGGTTGCATTTTTTTTTTAATATATTTCATTTACTTATTTTTTTTGCTGCCCGTGCTATAAATTTTCAAAAAATTCAATAAAAACTTATGACAAAAAATATTTTATTGTTATTTCTCTTTTTTTTTTGATTTTACTTTTTTTTATTTTTTTATTTAATTTTTTGTACATTTTTTATTTTATTTTTTTTATTCTTATTTATGTCAATAACTTTATTTTTTTTATTTTATAATATTTTTTTTTTGTTTTATTATCTTAATTTATTTTAATTTTTTCATTTTATTATTTATTTATTTTATTATTTTTACTTACTTTATTTTTTGTTTTATTTTATTATTTTCACTTTATTTTTTTATGTTATATTTTATTTTCTTTTATTTTTTTGGGTTTTATTTTATTTTCTTTAATATTTTTAATTTTTTTTATTTTGATTTTTTTATTTTGTTATTTGTATTTTTTTTCATTGTTTTTATTTTATTACTTTCATATTATATTTTATTATTTTATTTTTTTATTTATTATTTTTATTTTTTTATTTATTATTTTTATTTATTTTTTGTATTATTTTTTTTTTTTTATTATTTTTATTTTTTGTATTATATTTTTATTTTTTTATTATTCTTATTTTTTGTATTATATTTTTATTTTTTTTATTATTTTTATTTTTTGTATTATATTTTTATTTTTTTTCATTATTTTATTTATTTTTTCATTAATTTTATGCTCCTTATTTTTTTTTATATTAAAGTTTTTCTTTTTTTTCATTTTTTTTTTTTGTGGTTCTTAAATAAATATTTCTTCGTAGAACAATTTTAGGTAATAAAATCAAGAAAATAAAAATACAAATTTTATATTTAAGTTAGTATAGAATTTAAGAGATTTTTCGCCTTTTATTTTTAAATAATATAATATATTATTGTAATTCATTGAAGTCATACATACCCAATCGTAGAGTGAAAAAAGATCCATGGCTTTTTTTTTGTTTCGAGTCGTAGGCGCAGTCAAGTTTTGAAAAGAATCATAACACTCCCAATCGCGCTCTCTCTCTCAATTCGTCTATTTTTTGATAAATTTTAATTTAACAACATCGTCCACAAAGTGCAACATTACAGCCCACCAAAGAGATCTCCTGCTCGACAGTTGCACAAATCTGACAGCATTCAACAGAAACACAACACAGCTGTTTGATCTGCTCTTCGAATTTTTTTTTTGCACATACATACAATCACATGAACTTACATTTGTAGTCGTACCAATCGAAAGTATGCCGATTTCGCGCCTCAACCAACAGACGAGGAGTGGGTGAACAGATACACTTACACTATATATGTATAAATGTATGTTAGAGATTTTTTTTAGTTTTGTAATATTCTACATGACAGGTGAATGAGAGGAATATGTGCGATCACGTCGCTTTTAAGTTTAAGAAGATTTGGCATTTACAGCAAAGAAGTGAATCAAGTGCGCGAACGGCTGACGGCCATTGCTCCAAGTGTACGATGCCCCATCGTCATTCGTAAGTCGGTCACACTTACCGAGTGCATGTGTATGTAGCCTTGTATTGAAATACAAATGCTTGCGAACTCGACAGTAAATCGAATTATCGCTGAAGTAGTAGTTCTATGGGGCATGTATTATTCCATCCCAGTGGAAGCTTTGAGAACTACTGTAGATTTAGGCGATAAGAAATAAATTTTATACATAAGGGATAGATAGAATTTAATTTCTGGTGTTGAATTAATACCAATTTCTAATTGAACAGAAATTTTCTTTATTTAAAAATGAAAATCCTTTGAAAATAACAATTTTTCCATTAAAGGTGGGGTATGAAAAATAAATCCCAAAAATATCTAATAAAATCTTTGCCTTATCATCGACTTTACATAATTATATCGATCGATAAGTAGAAGTCTTTGGGTATCCCTAAAAACATATATTTTTTTGCCTAAAAGATAAGGGTCTTACAACAGCACTTGAATGGACTATTCTTCTTGAACCAAATGCGGAGAAAACAAGAAATTAGACCTCACCGAATGCATGCTATAAAGACGGATCAAAGACTGCAGAAGGAATTGGTCATCATGGTCTCCACAAAGAGGCTATCGATAACAACGGGGAAATATCCCAGCATCCTTCAAGCAAAAGTGTACGCCATAACCTCATACGCGGATATCATATTCAACATGAAGACTATCAATCAACATATAATAATTTCCAGTGGGCATGTGGTAAGCATCTTAATGTAGTAGGTGAACGTAACAAAGTTCGGCTCATCTGAGTTGAAGGGAAGGAAATAGCAGATAAACTTACAAAAGTAGTGGCCTCAAATTCGACTAAGATACCAGAGTCTTTTTTCACTACAGTTCCGCACCCGATTAAAGAGGAGCTAAGAAATGCTCGGCCGAAAATCTCTCCAGTGGTTACAAAGCGCCAATTATATATATTAATAAAAATGAAGAAATGAGAATAAGATACAGGTACTGATATCCCAGTAACGGGGTGAGAATAACCACGAAGTCTGATGAAGAGATGTGGTGATCTCCGAAACAGCTGTCACTTCTAACATTTTCCTTTGTTGTATGGAAAAAGTTAGAAGTGGCAGCTGTTTCGGAGAACACCACATCTCTTCATCGGACTTCTTGGCTTGTCTCACCCCGGAGATCACCACATCTCTTCATCATAATATCATACAAATATTCAATTCATACAAACAAACCAGGCCTTAAGCTCAAAAAAAACTTATAAAAGAAAAACAACACTTTAGCATGGTAGGTTTTATAATAGTTGATTGATGTAATGTGAAGGAATCGGAGGGCGCAATAGACCACTGCTCGCGGTGCATATCCTCCCCACTCACCTATCTACCACGGAAGCAATTTCTGACCGTTGCCCACCACCAATTTGTGGTGTGCGTCCAACAATTGGACGAGCTTACAGTTCATATTAGCCCGCCTTCGAACGACTGAAGGTTTTTATGAGGAGCTGTCAGAAATACACCTGGACACTTGAAATTTCCTGCCAAGGGGCGTCCGCATTTCGAATTTGTTTTCTATAATTTGGATGCTGGTCGGAGCAAGACTCCAACTTTGCCCTTTCGAATGTCAGTACGCAGGGCTAAACACTAGACTATGGGATTCACCAAATATAAACGAGAGAAAGGTGAAAGACTCATCAGTTTGTGTAAGAATGTAAACTAATAGCAAACTATAGCATTCTATATAAGAACTAGCATCTTTGCCTACAGGGATGGATTGCAGATGTATAAGCTCGAAATACATATTCACATAAGACAGAAAATTGTATTTAAGGTTTTGGAAGTTTTTTTGAATTGAAATTATTAACGTATACATATATATGTAAGTAATTTATGTATATAAGTTCGGTAGAACTGTGCATATAGAGCAGTTATACTTCTTTTATAAAAAGTTTAATTACAAAAGCTCTCAAAAATAGTTTAAAATTTAACCATTAATTAGTTGGTTGGCTGAAAGGATATGTTGAGGAACTGAACGCAAGTGGGTGCACCTAGGCCATTGAGTATGCTCATTTTGATGCCCCAACTATGCCATGTTTTAATTTCTTCGGACATTCGGTAGGTTGTAACTTGGAGCGTTGAGAAAGATGAGAACAACGTCTTAATCGGCCGAAGGGCGGACGATGACAGAGGTAGGACTACAGGTTTCTGAAGCCATAAGTTAAGACCCAAATTGTGTACTCCGGGTTTTGTCAAACAAATGACCTAAATATATACATTTTTTTTTGGCTTAATTTGTTTTTCTTTTGCATCATGGTTACAAAATTGGCGAATGCGTTACCCATGTGATCAGCAATGCATGCTACCATGCGGAAGGTAATGGGTGTTCCAATCCAGGCCTGAACAACGTTCAAAATTATAATAACTCTTTGCTAAGAGAATCATCCTGGTTCCTCCGATCGGCGGAGAAGCAATAGGTAACACATCACAAATTGGATGAGTAGATTGACTATAAATAGCTTCAGCGCTTATAAGGCGCTGGCTAACATAGTTTATGGTGCCAATTTGACAGGTTCTTCGATATTATATTCCACGAACCGACCTTTTTTGACTCAGTCTTTTATTTATTTAATATATGGAAAGCTCTTCTTTTCTAGCATTTTAAATTTGATTTGCTTGATATTTGTATTCCAAATGTATAGTTATATTTTATATTTATTTATATATATATATATATATATATATATATATATATATATATATATATATATATATATATATATACATATTTGGCGCTTTGTAACCGCTGTAGCGATTTTTCGGCCGAGCTCCTCCTCTAATCTGTAGTTTTTCGTCTTGATGTTTTTCCAACAAAAGGAGGGACCTACAGTTTATTGCTCAATTTATTTAAATAAATTTTCCATAACTTTTGGAAGTTGGTGGCACCAGCATATGAACCCGAGCCTTCCGAATGTCAGCACGGAATGCTAACCATTCGGCTATCGCGGCAGCCGATAAGGTTTTCTAATTAGAGGTGGTATTCATAGAAAAAATAAATTTTTTGAGATAAATTATCCGATTTTTATTTAAGTGAAAAGAGGAAGATATGCCCATTAATAATGGGAAACAATAACAACTAAATGGCAGCTACGGCTACGCTTACAGGACCGTAGCCTTTTTATAAAAGTTTTCATCGCTACTGTATGCCCTCAATAGCTCCACAAATTAACTGTTTGAAGTCTTCAACCGTCGTTGGCCTGTTGGTGTAGACCTTACCTTTCACGTGGACTCAAAGAAAGAAGTCGCAATGCCTTAAATCACAAGCTCTGGCTGGCCAATTTCGATCACCTCTTCGAGAGGCAAGACGGCCCGGAAATTTTCCCCTTAAAAAAAGATCGACGGTTTGGTTGCTTGAGTGGCACGTAACATCATCTTGTTCAAAATAAACGTTGTCCAGAGCAATATCAGCCAATGCCGGCTATAAAAATTCATTAATCATCTTTCGATTCACAGTAACTATTGCTCCAGCATCAAAAAGTAAGGTTCAATGACCCCGCCAGATAATTATAAATCCCACCAAATAGTTACATGTTGACGATGGAAAGGATTTTCAATAATAAATGTTGTTGTTGTTGTTGTTGTAGCGGTTCGCTAACCACGCTTATGCACAAGTTTGATCAGTCGTAGTCGCCGAGGTCATCTAGTGGGAGCTCAACGAAATGAGCTGCTTCGAGGGGGTTGGACCAATGGAAGAGGTGGGTTAGATGAGTTGGTTTGAGAGAGCATGTGAAGAGGTGGTCGTGCGGAGACTCTCCACATGCAGGGCATACGTTGGGTATGCTGGGTTCTAGTCTGGATAAGTAGGAGTTTAACCTGCTACAATATCCAGGTCTAAGTTGCGTCAGGGTCACACGGGTCTCTCGAGGCAGCTCGAGCTCGTTGTCTGCTATAGGTGGTGGTTTTTCGCCGAGCACGACATTCACTGGAAGGGAGTCCTTGAAGATGTTGACTGACTCCTGGTGAATGGCGGCCAGTGCTTGTCTGTACGCCGTCCTGTTTAGCGGTTGTTGTACATATTGCTGTATTGTGTCCTTTAAATCTAGTACTCCCTTTCTAATGTGCCTAGGAGGAGGTTTAGCTTCTAGTAGGTGCCTACTGGGGTGTTCCCTGCGATAGCATCCCAATAGGAACTGCTTGCACAGCAAAGCATTATGCTCTTTAACTCGTAGCATAGATGTTTCGCTGTGCAAGTGATGCTCTGGAGACATCAGGAGGTTTCCTGTCGCAGTCCTGAGGGCGGTATTCTCGCAAGATTGTAGCTTCTTCATCTGCTACTCGTTCGTCCCCGGCGCCCAGATCAATAATAAATCTGTGGTTTTACAAGCCGCAGATATGACAGTTTTACTTATTGACCTAGCAATCAAAGTGGAAATGAGCTTCATGAGTCAAGATGATTTTTGATGAAATTTCTGATAATTTTCACGCATTTCAAGGAGCAAATGAACAAAGACACGACATTGTTGATGATCGGCCGACATGAGTTTTTTTGTGTTTACTGAACTTTATAAGACTTAAGACCCAAGGCTTTATGGCAAATACGGTGTAATGACAAGTGGTTTAACCAGGGGTTTCTTCAGCACTTCAGTTCTCAGTTGTTTTTTAGCGACGTTCTCGTGCTTTATTCTTCACATCACTAACTTGTCCCAACAGCTTCATTCTTTCCACCAATTTCAGTATTATGATCCGACAAGGTGTTTCGCGACAACCAAAAAATTTTTTAGTTATCAATATTTTTATTTTGAATTTGAATTATTTCAATGCATTGTTGAAGCGTGTTTAGTTTCATTTTTATAACTGGCGTAGCTTTTACTTGTCAAATGTCAAAAATTTCAAGCTTCAAATCTGATATCTACCGGAAAAGCAGGTTATACAGAATAGGACCTCTGAACACCCTTTATAAATATTTAAAAAACGAACTAAAAATCTAATTTAGATCGTATCGAAATTCAAATGAAGACGAGGTCCGAGAAAAATCTTGTACAATAGAACGATCAAAAGGTGAAAACAATCCGGTCATCGTTTAACCAAACAATAGCAGTTCGACAAAGGAACTACTTTTAGACAATAAAATGGCTAAAACCAAACTTCTCTATGAGTAATGAATTTCGTAACAAAACTTCTCGATAAAAAATGCGTCTTAATTTTCATCTCAGAACATGGATATACAAATTGTACCCAAAAAAACCAAGTATAGTAAAAAAACAACTGAAAACTGAAATGAATGCACCGCCCAACTCGCACCACATCCTCCGGCCCCAAAATCACCATTCCAGCCAATTATAGACTCCATAAAGTTTAGGGATCTTAGAACAGTTTTTCGGTGGATGCTTTCACATCATGATTAGCAGGAGAGATTTGAGTTACACGCAAATGCCAAAATTTTTAAACTTTTCTCATTCAACTTCACATAAATGGAATAAAAGAGTGATTTGAAATATTTATGGAAATTCTTACGCAGAAAAAGAACGAAATGTTCCAAAAAGTACGAAACACAAGCGCCGTAAATAAAAAAATGAAAATAAAGAGCAAAACTGCCGATGTTTTGGCTCACATAATCAACTATGGATTTAACGGTACACACGCACAAGTAGTCATTCATTCAACGAATTAGGAATTATTGCAATTGCATTATTTTTTTAATTCTTCCAAATGCACACTGTGACCCTGTGTCTTATTTAATTTTTTTTTTTTTTTTTGCTGCCAATCAATTTTCACACATTCGCTCAACACGCGCGCCGATACGAACGCACACAAAAACACGCGCCAACTGCCACTCGGAGGCTATTGATTTCTGATTTCGTCCGGCCTCAGATTCACTGTCGCGAAAGCGTTTGAGGCACAAACCAAACGTAAAGCGAATTATTGAGGCGAAACGCAATGCAGCGAACTTGAACAAAAAAACACACAAAAAAGTGAGAACTCCTAAAAACGATTTTCAAAAACACAATGCACAATGAAAGTGAAAAAGAAACAAAAAAGAAACAGAAACAGAAACTTCAAACTTCAATCGCTAAACTCCAAAATATATTCAAATTATTTAATCAACGGATTGTGCCGACTGCAATGCAACAAAAAATGACATGCTGTTCTCATGAACATGGAGAATTTTTTTGACACCCCCAAAAAATTGTGGTCTGCTGGCCTGTGTTATGTTGTCTACGAGGCCTATGAAAATTGCCCGCGGTGGGAAGCGCAAGAGTATTTGGAAATCCAAACTGTGGGCGACGCTCCCATTTCCGCATACTCAGTGAGAATGCATGTGTTCATTTTACGAGCATTTCGGTAACTAAAAATAGTCCACTCGGTTGAGTGCGATGTGGTAAGTGTGTGATAAACATATGTACGAGTATGTAGACATCTTCAGCTGGAGTTGCTGTTGGATACAATTAAGGAAGCATCAGTTTACACTCCAGTTTTGTTTGTCGTTGGTGATAAAAAATATATTTTAGAAATATTACAACAGAGATGGTGGATAAGCAACGAGAAATGCACTGTTACTGCGGCTAAAATCATAATGTATGGTAAAGACGAAAAAAAAGACAGTCAAAGCGTATGGGCGGACGATCATAATTTATGCTACACCGATTGGAAGACCAGGGACGAGTGAGGCGCAGGTTAAAATGCTAAGAGCTTGACATAACTGACATAAATTTGACAAGAAACCTCCTGATGTCGTCTGAAAAGGAGTACTTGACCTATTGAACTCCGTTCAGCACATCGTAACACAACTTTTGAACAAACGCCATTTACAAAAAGTTCGTTATCA